GGCACTGACTGACATCACTGCTGGGCACTGACTGGGCACTGACTGGCACAACCCCTGGGCACTGACTGGTGGCACTGACTGGCAGCACTGCTGGGCTGCACTGGTGGGTGGCACTGGTGGGCAGCACTGGTGGGTGGGCACAGGTGGGTGGCACTAGTGGGCACAGGTGGGTGGGCACAGGTGGGTGGCACTGGTGGGCACAGGTGGGTGGCACTTCTGGGCACAGGTGTGTGACACTGCAGAGTGGCACAGGTGGGTGCACTGCTGGGCACAGGTGGGTGATCTGCTGGCACAGGTAGGCGGAGCTAGTGGGCCACTGCTGGGCACAGGTGGGCGGAACTTGCGGGTGGCATTGCTGGGCACCGATCATCAGGGCACTGATCATCAGTGCCCTGATGATCGGTGCCGATCCCCGCTCTGACAACTGCCGGTTCTCGGCAGTACTTTCCTCACGATCTGACAGCGTGAGGAAAGTGCAGCCGAGAACCGGCACTTGCATTTCCCTGTGATCAGCGTGTCATTGGACACCGCTGATCACGTGGTAAAAGGCCGGTATGATTGGCCTTTACCCACATCACGTGATCAGCTGTGTCCGTAGGACACAGCGATCACGGAGATCGCCGGGTGCACGCCTCCTGGGGCGCGCAGGAGAGTGCGTTCTGGGAGGACGTCATATGACGTCCACTCAGAACTGGCCGGCCGCAGTTTAGCCGTCATTCGGCTATCTGCGGTCGGCAACTAGTTAAAGTGAAATTAAATGAAGATCCCAGATTTTTAGTTGACATCAGAACACTAATAAAAGAGGAAACATTCCAAGGGGGACACTAGTTCTAGAGACCCTGGAGACACACCAGGATCCCCTCACTTCTTGTTTTAGCTATGGGATAGGAACTGAAATTTCCCCAATGAGATGCAGATTGCAAGAAAAAAAATGGCTGTTATTATACCCTTTCCTTACTCTATTCCAAATGGGAAAAAAAAAGTTTTCCCTTTAGTTTCACTTTAAGAATGTATTTTTAAATATGTAACTACAGTCATTTGTTTCTTTTCTAGCTACCTGGAATGCATTTTAAAATCCCTTTTTTATTATTATTTATTTATTATTATTTTTATTATGGAAATGGGAATTGTGCCTTTTTTTGTTACTCTTGTCATAACCAAAATACACCACATGAATGACAAATACTGTTCTACTATAAACACATAGAAAGGAACATAAAGTAGAACAGGAAATTAAAAGTCATGCATCCTGACAAAGCAGAAATTAATCACCTGCACAATTTTAACTGATGTTTCATCTTTAACTAATCTGTCAAATTCACTGAGAAAAAAATATCCTCCAAGTAAACTGTATGCTCTGCAAGCATTTGAACATTTTTGAAGATTCTTACCATTCTCCATTCTGAAGAAATGGTTGTTTGACCATGTCTGTTTGCAAACTGAATTCTGAATGGGGGGTCAGCATCATTAAAACCATATGATGCATCCTGAGCGTATAATGAGAAAAGCTGCAGTATCAATATTCCTTTAGAACATGTAATCAGAAAGTGCAGCGCTGAGAAATCAACCAATTATATTGCAAATGATAAAAAAAAGTTAAAGTGCCAAGTGCGTATAAGCTAAGTGATAAATAATATGGCAATATGCAATGAATAAATGCATGAATAATTAAATCAATTAATTTAAATTGATAAATCAAAGTCCAGTGTGAGTGTGAAATTGTCCTTAATTAATGCATAGTAGAAATCTTGTGCTCATGAGATAAAATCCTGTGTTCAGGTGAAGATATATATATGACAATTATTCCAATCAGTGAAGTGCAGAGAAAATGGTAAAAATGCACACTCACCAGATGTGCATTTTAAATACGCAGTGTGTTATGTAAGATGAAATCAGCTTGGAAAGGATATTCCTCCTCTGGATACTGGAGCTGCTTTACAACTTGCTGTCACCTGGGATTCTGTGGATTAATTGTTCAGTGCAGAGCCAAAAAGAACTTTAACTTTTTTTCATCATTTGCAATATCATTGGTTGATTTCTCAGCGCTGCACTTTCTGATTACATATGCTACTGAAGGTTATAGGTCCCTTTTTTGGTGCATTTGCTGTTGTATAGATTTAAGCGCTCGCTGATCTCTTTTGCACATTCCTTTAGAAAAGGAAGCCTAGATAACTCTGAGGCTCATGCACACTGAGTGTTTGAATTTCTCCTCTGCACTCCTTTTACACCTGGCTTGAAAAAACAGCTTAAAGAATGCACCTAAAGCCGCATATTGTGCAGGCACATCTAAGTGTTTATGGATTCAATTGGCCAGAATAGGAATCAGGGTTAATTCAATACATTGGAGAAGAGAGATTGGAGTGCAGAGATCGAGCCTTTATATTGTGTAGTGGCCTGTCAGCATGCCCAGCCCATGAAGATGTCTCATTGGACAAAACCAGTGTACAGCAGAGCTGGTGCTTGCTGACATCACATGCTGCTGTCTCGTGAGTGTCAAGAACCATAAACCAGCTTGCTAAAGCTTGTAGGAGCTTTCATTCTGCTCTAGGAGGATGCAGGAACCCTGACCTCTCTCTGGACACTGCTGATTGGTCCTGTGTTGATCACATGCACTCTTCCAAGAAAAAAAAAAAAATCTCTCTAGCAATACACACCAAACTGAGCATATGCAGAGCGACTCCAAATCTCTGTTCTATCAGGAGATATTTAGTGAGAACAAGCAGCATTCTTTACTGCATAAAAATACAAATTTTGCTGTTGTGAGCTTAGTAACACTTTACGTAGCAGGAGCCCAGTCCTGGCAATATCCCCTCCTTAACGACCTCTCCCCCTCGGGGGGCACTAGGCTTAAGGGGAAAATGTAAATGAGAAGCACGGAGAAGAGCAGGAGCACATATGTCCAATGAGACCCAAGAGCATTCCTCCGATCCATAACCCCTCCAGTGAAGTAGATATTGTATGCGTCCACAAAACCTATGGGAGTGTCAGGAATGGACTCAGCACTGGTGGTGGGACTCACCTGCCGTGTGGGCTGCAGTACCAGGGCTGACCAGCGGGTGCTCTCAGCAGCCAGAAGCTCACTCCTGCAGTCAGCCAACACCTGAAGCTGATTGCAGGAAGTGTATTTAAGGAATGACCAGGCCTGTGATCAGGGCCTTGGTGTATGTTTCCCATGTGCCCTGTTCCCTGTATCCTGTCTCTTACCTGCTCCGTTCCTGATGTTGTTCCTGTGTTCATTCCCGTTGCCGACCTCTGCTTGTTCCTGATCCTGCTATTCTCCTGATTAACCCCTGGCTTGCCTGACTACTCTTTTGCTTGATCCCTGGTACCGCGCTGCCCGCAACCTGCTGAACCTGGCTTGTGACCCCGACCATTCTCTGCTCGCTCCTCTTGAACCTCGCTGCCCGCACGATACCGACCCGGCCTGCCTGACTACGCTTACTTCACCCGACGATCCATCCATCCCGCACCGATCACTTCATTAAGTCTGCCTGCCTCTTCCCATCAGACTCCGTTCCCGCACTCCCCTGCCAGTACTCTCTACCACAGCCGGACGCACTCAGGGGTTGCGACCTGGTTCCAGTCTGCACCAAGTCCATCCCCACCATCAGGGGCCCTGGTGAACAGTAGGCTGGGACTTAGACCCCGCACCCTGAGGAAATCCGTGCTGTGCGCTCGGCCTGCCTGACCGCTCCACCTCTCCAGCCCTGACTGCACTGGTACCTATTAGTTTAGGGTTTATTGCACCTGGTTTTACATATTTATGTGTTGAGTTTGGTTGTTTGCACTGCGTTTATGTTTGTGTTGCCTTTAATACATTATATTGTGTTACACGCTATACCTGAAGTCTGTGTTTCCCTGTGTTGGTCCACACACCTCTGGTCATACCTGGAACCCTGACATTACACCAAGGCCAATCCTGACCAGAAGTGGCTGCACAGGGAAGCCATCTTGGCTTGTTGCTGGGAAGGATGCATCCTGATGAGGTTATGTATTTGTCTCTGCTGGTCTTTGATGACAGAGATTATGCTTATCAGACTCTAAAGGAGTATACCAGGAATCAACTGCTAGAATGTATACGGGTCGCTCATGTTCTAGTAGATCAGGGCACAGAATTCTCTGAGGTGCAACCTTTGATTCAGGTTTGTGCAGAGTTGGCTTCATCTGGTACCCCTGAAAACAGGAATGATTTTTTGCCACCATTTAGTGCAGACCAAGTAGAGTCCCTGGTATGGTTATTAGAGGATGATGGGGAGTGCTTCTTGGAGCATTATTTTGCATGTTCACAACAGGTACTATGGGATTGTATAAACGCATTGCAGTCTTTGACCAGACAGGCTTTGTGTAAGCGGAGCTTTGTTCAACCCATACTGCAGATATGGTCAGAGTTGTTACACCCAACCTCAGTCAGCTTGCAACAAACCAGTCCTTCTCACCATTTCTCTGCTCAAAGCTCTCTTCCTGCATTCCCGACAGTACCCCCAGTGACAGCCCAGTATACCCTACTACCTACCACTTGTCAGTACCCTGCTCCCACTCACTGCACCTATCCTGCCTTTAACCCTGTAAAGAAGTCCTCTGTAGCAACTGCTCCTTCCTTTGTTCCATCCCCCAGCTCTTCTCTGCCTACAGCTGCTCTATCTGTTTACAAACCTGCACTTACTTACAGTGCTCCAGTAACGAAAACCAGGAAAAGGCGAAAATTCTTTCCAACCAGTACCATCCTGCCAGTATCCAAACCGGTCAGTCGGCTGTCTGAGAACCCGCCTTCCATGGTTCAGCCTGATACCCTGATGCCTGATGACCCAGTGTACGCTACCCAGCCTGATGGTTCTGCCCGGCCTGATGGTTCTACCCAGCCTGATGGTTCTACCCGGGCCTGATGTTCCTACCCGGCCTGATGATCCTATCATGCCAGATGACTCGGTGCCCGCTGTCGAGCCAGATGACCTGATGCCAGATGACTTGGTGCCCGCTGTCATGCCAGATGACTCGGTGCCCGCTGTCGTGCCAGATGACTCGGTGCCCGCTGTCGAGCTTGGTGACCCGGTGCCCGCGGTTCTGCCAGATGATTCGGAGCTCGCTGTCGTGCCAGATGACTCGGTGCCCGCTGTCGTGCCAGATGACTCAGTGCCTGCTGTCAAGCCAGATGACCTGATGCCTGATGATCCGATGCCCGCTGTCGAGCCAGATGACCCGGTGCCCGCTGTCGAGCCAGATGACCTGATGCCAGATGACCTGGTGCCCGCTGTCCTGCCAGATGACCTGGTGCCCGCTGTCAAGCCAGACGATCCGATGCTTGATGACCCGGTGCCCGCTGTCGTGCCAGTTGACTTGGTGCCTGCTGTCAAGCCAGATGACCTGGTGCCAGTGCCCAGATGACCTGATGCCTGATGATCCGATGCCCGCTGTCGAGCCAGATGACCCGGTGCCCGCTGTCGAGCCAGATGACCTGATGCCAGATGACCTGGTGCCCGCTGTCCTGCCAGATGACCTGGTGCCCGCTGTCAAGCCAGACGATCCGATGCTTGATGACCCGGTGCCCGCTGTCGTGCCAGTTGACTCGGTGCCTGCTGTCAAGCCAGATGACCTGATGCCCGCTGTTCTGCCAGATGACTCGTTGCCCGCTGTCGTGCCAGATGACTCGTTGCCCGCTGTCGTGCCAGATGACTCGTTGCCCGCTGTCGTGCCGCTGACTCGTTGCCCTCTGTCGTGCCAGATGGCTTGGTGCCCGTGTGACTCGGTGCCCGGTGACCTGGTGCCCGCTATCCTGCCAAATGACCTGGTGCCCGCTGTCGAGCTTGGTGACCCAGTGCCCGCGGTTCTGTCAGATGACTCGGAGCCCACTGTCGTGCCAGATGGCTCGGTGCCCGCTGACTTGCCCGGTGACTTGATGCCCGCTGACTTGCCCGGTGACCTGGTGCCGGGCGGTGGAACATTTTGCCCACTAAGGACTGTTTGGAGCGTCCTGAGGCCGTTCCCTGAGGGGGGTGTACTGTCAGGAATGGACTCAGCACTGGTGGTGGGACTCACCTGCCATGTGGGCTGCAGTACCAGGGCTGACCAGCGGGTGCTGAAGCTCACTCCTGCAGTCAGCCAACACCTGAAGCTGATTGCAGGAAGTGTATTTAAGAAATGACCAGGCCTGTGATCAGGGCCTTGGTGTATGTTTCCCATGTGCCCTGTATCCTGTCTCTTACCTGCTCCGTTCCTGATATTGTTCCTGTGTTCATTCTGTTGCCGGCCTCTGCTTGTTCCTGATCCTGCTATTCTCCTGATTAACCCCTGGCTTGCCTGACTACTCTTTTGCTTGATCCCTGGTACCGCGCTGCCCGCAACCTGCTGAACCTGGCTTGTGACCCCGACCATTCCCTGCTCGCTCCTCTTGTACCTCACTGCCCGCACGATACCGACCCGGCCTGCCTGACTACGCTTACTTCACCTGACGATCCATCCCGCATGGATCACTTCAGTAAGTCTGCCTGCCTCTTCCCATCAGACTCTGTTCCCGCACTCCCCTGCCAGAACTCTCTTCCCACAGCCGGACGCACTCAGGGGTTGCGACCTGGTTCCAGTCTGCACCAAGTCCATCCCCACCATCAGGGGCCCTGGTGAACAATAGGCTGGGACTTAGACCCCGCGCCCTGAGGAAATCCGTGCTGTGGGCTCGGCCTGCCTGACCGCTCCACCTCTCCAGCCCTGACTGCACTGGTACCTATTAGTTTAAGGTTTATTGCACCTGGTTATACATATTTATGTAAGTGTTGAGTTTGGTTGTTTGCACTGCGTTTATGTTTAATAAATTATATTGTGTTACACGCTATACCTGAAGTCTGTGTTTCCCTGTGTCGGTCCACACACCTCTGGTCATACCTGGAACCCTGACAGGGAGTCAATGATAGATTGTATCCCATATTCCTCATGGTTGTCAACCTGAACTGCGCAAGGGCGTGGTACTGAGGTGGTATAGCAGTTACGCACCAAAGGTTTTAATAAGGAAGCATGGAATATGTTGGAAATACGCATGTAGGAAGATCTAATGTGTATGCCACTGGGATAACCCTACGGAGTATGCGGAAAGGCCCAATATACCAAGGCGCCAGTTTTAGTAAGGGAACACTCAGAGTCGGAGGTTACGGGAAGACAGCCAGATCCTCTCCTCAACTTGGTAAGAGGGTGCAGGTGGGTGTTGGCGGTCAGCATGGAGTTTGTACCTCTCTCTGGAGCAATGCAAGGATTCTTGGATCTGCACCCAAGTGGAACGGAGTTCTTAAAGATGTTCCTCTAACGCAGGAATTCCCTAAGGAACGAATGAATCAAGCAACATAGATGGTTGAAACAAAACTTTTCACCATAAACAGAGATAATTGGGAGGCAGCATTAATGGCATTATTGTGAGCAAACTCAGGCCAAGGTAATAGGTCTAACAAGTTGTTATGCTGGTCTGAAATATAGCAACGTAGGAACTGTTTCCAAGGCTTGGTTGGCCCATTCTGTAGCCCCATTGGACTGTGGGTGATATGCCGAAGAGAAGCAAAGCTGAATTCCCAACTGTGCACAAAAGGCTCGCCAAAATCTGGACAAAAAGTGGCTACCCCTGCCCGAGATGATAACTTTTGGTAACCACTGTAACCAAAATACCTCCCAAGTGGATATTGATGCCAGTTCTTTGGGTGTAGGCAACTTCTTTAGCAGAATTCAATGTGACATTTTCGAAAACCGGTCAACCACCATAAGAATATCTATACTGCCCTGTCTGGTGCTCTGTCTGTTGTGGCACAGAGCAGATTTACTCCGGATCTACTGAGTTATTACTGTATGTGGACCGGTGGGGAGTTTGCTGTGGAGAGAGAGGAGTGGAGAGAAATCCTTCCAGCCCGGGACAGTATTTTTCATGCTTACCTCTGCGTGGTGGATGCTACATTTCTGTTTCTTGCAGATCTGGGCTGTAGAATATATGGTGTACTTTTCACTTCTGCTGTCTACCAGTGCCTGATTTAATGTCACTTTGATGGACATATCTTTTGAACTCTTTAGCCCTGGTTCACTGATGAGATTTCTGATTCATTCCAGAATACATGGAATTGCATGACAAATGAAACATTAGTTTCTATGGAGGCCGTTCACATACAGTATATGCAGTGAGATTCCGATGCTTTTTTTTTAAAAAGGGTCCTGTGCGAGTTTAGTGAAGTGCGGTGCGATTTATAGCTGCACAGACTTGAAGGGAAATCACTTCTCACAATTCCAGTATGTTTTCTCCAAGCCTTTGTTTTGTTCTAAATCTTCCAACCCTGGTCCATGTCAGCAGAGAGACCGAAAGAAAGAAAGAGTGAAAGCTGCCAAATCGCACCTGAATAGCTAACAACTACCCTTGAAATCGCCCTGAAACCAGCAGGAAAAATCGCACCTCATCTACTGTATGTGACCCTAGCCTTATGGATAATTGTTTTTTGACACTTGTGTTCTCTAACAGTATTTGTGTTTTATACATTTATGATACATTATGTTGAATATTGTGATGTATACATTTATTCTTTGATGTAGCTTTGTACTTTTTTTTATACATTGTGGATAGGCACTGCATTTATCCTAAACTGAAGTGCTCAACCTTTTGAAGAGTGAGGGCCCCACTTAGGTGATTTATCATTTCTTCACTTACCCAGTGAGGCAAGGGGGTGGGCCCCAAGGGGTTCTAGCTTCAGGCTCCATGAGCCCAACACACAAGGGACATGACCCACTCTGAGGACAGTGGCAGGTGGGGAGTTCGACTAGGGCGGTACACCTGTCAAACAGTAATGCAGGTGTCCTAAGGCGAGCTCAGGGAGGACAGAAACCTACCGTGAAGCAGAAGGGCAAATGCTCGCTTGAACTTGATTTTCAGTATGTATACAGACCATGAAAGCAGGGCCTCATGATTCTTCTAACTTTTTCCATTTCAAGCAGGAGGTTTCAGAAAAGTTACCAGTGGGATATCTGGTTTGTGGCGGCCAAGTGTTCAGAGCGATGCCGCTTTTTGATCTTTTGATGTCTGCTCGTCCCATCATTGTGAAGCAGAATTCTCTGCGCGTTGCGGTTTCTATTACATGTTGTAGTGTGGTGCACTTTCTGAAAGCGAATCAAAGCTCCTGCATTCAGGAGTTCTGTTGCGCTTTTAGAAAGCGCACCAAACCCCTAAGGTATAATGACAGTCTATGGCTCAGTGCAGCTAGCTAACTCGCAGGAAAGTAGCAGGTGTACTGTGCTGCACCTGTGCATCAGGGTGAAAGCAGCCTAATAGTTGTTAACCCTCTTACAAGTGCTAATATAACCATTGCAAAAGCCATTATGGCCAGTGTACAGTGCTCAGCAAAAATGAGTACACCTCTTTTGAAAAGTAAGATTTTAACAAACATCTCAATGAACACTCCCAAAACTTTGACAAAACGGAGTTTTATAGAACATTTGTTTAGTTCATTACATGAAAGTAAAGGTTAATAATATAACTTAGATTACAAAATCTTCAGTTTTACTCAAATTAGTTGATGCAAAAATGAATACACACCACAACAAAAAATTACTCCATCTAGTATTTTGTATGACCTCCATGATTTGTAAGGACAGCGCCAAGTCTTCTGGCATAGAATTAACAAGTTGGGGACATATTGCAACATTAATTTTTTCCATTCTTCAAGAATGACCTCTTTTTTAGAGCCTGGATGCTTGATGGGGAGTGATACTCAACTTGTCTCTTCAGAATTTCCTATAGGTGTTTGACAGGGTTCAGATCAGGAGACATACTTGGCCACTGAATCACTTTCACCCTGTTCTTCTTCAGAAATGCAACAGTGGCTTTAGATGTGTGTTTTGGATCATTGTTATGCTGGAAAAGTGCACAACGACCAAGGGCACGGAGTGATGGTATCATCTTCTCTTTCTATATAGAACAGTAAAGCTGTGAATTCATGATATCATCAATGAAATGCAGCTCCCTGACACCAGCAGCAGTCATGCAGCCCCACGGAAGGACACTGCCACCACCATGTTTCACTATAGGCACCATGCATTTTTCTTTGTACTCACCTTTGCAACACTATACAGTTTTGAAGCCATCAGTTCCAAAAACTTTTAACTTGGTCTCATCACTCCAAAGTACAGAGTCCTAGTAGTCTTCTTTTTCAGCATTGGCCCTGGCCAATTTTAGGTGGGCTTTTTTTGTGCATGGAGAGGCTTCCTTCGTGGACAACACCCATACATGCCATTCCTCCGAAGTGTACGCCGTATTGTGTCACAGGAAACAATCACCCCAGTTTGGCTTTCTACTTCTTTAGCTAAGTGCAGTGAACTTACATGGAGATTTTATTCAACCCTTCTCATCAGAAGACACTTCTGTCGAGGTATTAACTGTTGTGGATGGCCTGGATGTCTGTGGGATGGTTGCAGTTCAAATTTTTGTATCACTTTTGTAGTGCCATTGCTGAAAGCATGAAATGGGAAGAAGTTTTCTTTGTCAAGTAACGCCCTTTTATAATCAACTGTCTACTGGACATGAGTTTAATGAGTAATTAGACGTACCTGTAATTGAATTCTTGTTAATTAGGATTTTGTTGTCTAAAATGTAGCTTTTCTTCCACGACTTTTATTGGGGTGCATTCATTTTTGCAACATTGTCTTGAATTAATTTCTTAGGAAAAAATACTTGATTTTTGTGTGCAAATTGACAAATCTTGCTTGCAATTAATGGCCCGCAGTTGGAGTATTTTGTAGTATAGTGTCCAATAGAAAATGTTGATTCTGAAAGGAATGTAAAGGTTTTCTGACAAATCTGTTGGGGTGTACTCTTTATGCTGAGCACTGTATGTGCTGTTTAAAACATGGACCTTATTTTCTGCTTGCAGCTGCTGCTGGCATTGCTCTCCAGGCTCCTAGAA